TTGGCATCACTTGTACAAGTTATCTGGCTACCACATCTCATATTTATGTTTATTTATTCTATTGTAGGGTGTATTTATCATCTTTTCATGTTATGTATCGTGTTTATTATATAATTTTGAAAAAAATATCATGGATGGATTAATGAAAATGTGTATATTAACGTAATATACAACATTTAATGAGACTCGGTGATTATTATTATTATTATTAGCATTTCTAATATGGCGTCACTTGTGCAAGTCGTCTGCTATCACATCTCATATTTATGTTTATTTATTCTATTGTGGGGTGTATTTATCATCTTTTTATGTTATGTATCGTGTTTATTATATAATTTTGAAAAAATATCATAGATGGATTAATGAAAATGTGTATTTAACGTAATATACGAGATTTAAATGAGACTCGATGATTATTATTATCATTACTAATATGACGTCTGGAGACATAAGACACTCTTACTGATTTTAATGTGTACCTGCACGCCAGCACAGTATGTAAGTTTATTTAAGTACAGGTATACATAAGTATAATTATCAGAGTATATATAAAATATGAAATAACTTTTAAAAACATTTGAAATTTTGGAGTTTCCAGACAAAATGGAGAGACTTAATGCTTACTGAGCTCACGAAGAATGTAAACAAACAAGGTGGGGCGCGGTGACCGTATTAGAAAGTCAGGTGGGGGGAGCCGTATAGCGAGTTTTGGTCATAATTTGAAATGACCGTATTAGCGGAATGCCGTAAAGTGAAACGCCGTAAAGCGGGGCCCTGCTGTATAAAGATATACTGTATAACATATCCCTCCAAACTGCCAATATCCCAAACCCCTCCTGTAAAGTACAGGTACTGTACGTCCCATTTCCAGTACTCAAGTCCAACTATATAAAAATAGCCAGTTTCCCTGAATCACTTCACTAAATATTACCCTGCTCACACTCTAACAGCTCATCAGATCCCAAAAATCATTCGTCTCTATTCACGCATGCTTGCTGGAAGTCCAAGCCCCTCACCCACAAAACCTTCTTTACCCCCTCCCTCCAACCTTCTTGAGGACAACGCCTACCCCACTTTCCTTCCCCTACAGAGTTATACGCTCTCCATGTCATTCTCCTTTGATCCATTCTCTCTAAATGACCAAACCACCTCAACAACCCCTCTTCAGCCCTCTGACTAATACAGTGGACCCCCGGTTTACGATATTATTTCATTCCAGAAGTATGTTCAGGTGCCAGTACTGACCGAATTTGTTCCCATAAGAAATATTGTGAATTAGATTAGTCCATTTCAGACCCCCAAACATACACATACAAACGCACTTACATAAATACACTTGCATAATTGGTCACATTGGGAGCTGATCGTAAACCGGGAGTCCACTGTACTTTTATTAACTCCACACCTTCTCTTAATTTCCACACTCCAAATTCTCTGCATAATATTTACACCACACATTGCCCTTAGACAGGACATCTCTACTGCCTCCAACCGCCTCCTCGCTGCAGCATCGACAACCCAAGCTTCACACCCATATAAGAGTGTTGGTACTACTATACAAAGCTTGTGTGAATTATACAGCATTGGCTCTTCGACAGTTTATGACATAAAAAAGCAGAAAGAAAAATTACTGTTTCTTTGCTAACAGTGATTCAAAGAAACATGTGTAAAAGGAAAACAATGAAGGAAGGAACAAGTTTAGCACTTCATCAAGTTCTGATGAAGTGCTTTAGGCTACATGTAAGTGAAGATGCTGAGTTGTAAATTTCAGCTCTTCACTTAGAAAGCAGCAGTGATGAACTTTCTTGTTTAAGTCAAATTGATTAACTTTATTAGCCCTTTGAGGGTCGATAGGCCCTCTCCGAGACTCGTTCTCAGGGTCAGCCAAATTTAAAAAAAAAAATAATAATAATTTTCTCTTATGAAAAGATAGAGAATCTTTTCCTGATCATAATGACACCAAAAATTTGAAATTTGATGGAAAACTTACGGAATTATGCTCTCGCAAAGTTAGCGATCTCGGCGATGTTCACGCATCGGCGATTTTGCCCACTTTGAGCCCCATTTTTGGCCAATTCCACTGTACTAGCCGACAAAAAACATGAATATTTCGCTAGAACTCCCTTTTTTCTATCGAATGAGTGCAAGAAACCACCCATTTATCAACTTCAACTATCCAGTACAGTGGTCAGAATTTAGCAATTTTGCCAATTTCACACAAATTTCAAAAGATGCCAATTTCCGAATAGGCTCCAGGAAAAACAAGAAAGACATTCCTGGCACTAAAATGACATTTCCTCTGTTCATTAGTCACGTCTCAAGGCCCCTCTTATATTCTTTTGCTTTCCACTTTGAATTTTTATTCTCACAAAAAATAGAAGATTTACTGTTATGCAGGCTACTGCATTAGTGTAAAAAATGGTATAAATAATATTGGCGCACTTGTGAAAGAATATTAGACTCACCAGTTGACGTATATTGGACGCTTGGCATGATTTGTTTACTTTTGAACTTTGGTAAAAATCGAATATTTCTGCTACTTTGAGCTCAATTTCAAGGTACTTTTCACTGTAAAACCAGTCAAAATCATCTCAATTTCTGTAATATGTCTTCCATTCTATAAAATGAGGCCAAAAAACTAGAATACAACAATAAATACCATACGAAAATACAGTGCAAAGTCGCTGTTTTATTCCAAAAAAAACGGTCAGTTTTTTTTTTTCATTATGCACTGTGTGCTGCAGGATTTTTTTATACTGTGCACACTGACCACATAGACCCATTCTTTCATATGTAGGCCTACCAGCTTTCTCCCACTAGATTGAGGGCACTAGAATTTAGGCGGCGTACTAGTACGTTAAAAACCCTGGGTCGTAAGCCGTACTAGTACGGCTGAAACCCTCAAAGGGTTAATCCTTTCACTGTCAGTCCCATTGTATCATGGCTCTGAATCCTGTGTCAGTCCAGTAGTATGATGCCATAAGCTCGGTTCACTCAGATAAGTTGTGACCAGTAAATTTGGGCCTAGATATGAGAAAATAGGTCTGTGTGGTAAATGTGCACTATATAAAAAAAAATCCTGTAGCACGCAGAGCATAATGAGGAAAAAAAAAATGGGGCCAAGTTTTTGGTGTAAAACAGCGACTTTGTGATAAATTTTCATATGGATTTTATGACTGTAATCTCGGTTTTTTGGTCTCATTTGATAGAAAATATATTACAGAAATAGAGACGATTTTGACTGGTTTCGGGATGGAAGGTACCTTAAAACTGAGCTCAAAGTAATGGAAATGTTCAATTATTGCTGGTGCTCAAGAGTAAACAAATCATGTCATGTGTCCAATACATGTCCAACTGGCCGGTCTAATATGCAGTCATGAATGGGTTGACATTATTTATACAATTATTACAATAATGCAGACTTGAATAAAAATTCAAGATGGAAAGCAAGTGTAATGTAAGAGGGGTCCTGGAGACGTGACTAATGAACAGAGAAAATTTTATTTTAGTGCCACGAATGCCTGCACTGTTTATTCTGGACCCTATTTTGAAACTGGCATCTCTTGAAATTTGTGTGAAATTGGTCAAATTACCGATTTCTGATCACTTTATTAGTTGAAATAGATAAATGGACGTTTTTTTGTACTCAATCGTCAGAATAGAAGGAATACTAGTGAAATAGCTATGAGTTTGGTCGACTGGAACAATGGAATGTGCCAAAAATAAAGTGTAAAGTGGGCAAATATTGCCGATGTGTAAATACAGTGGACCCCCGGCATACGATGGCATCGCGTTATGTTAAATCCGGCATACGATACATTTTAATGCAAAAATTTTGCCTCGCCTCACGCGATTCGTCTGGGAAGCGTCCCACGTGTGGCCTCAGCGCCAGTGTTCACAAACCAGCCAGTGCGTTCGCATCTACGCATACATTCGGTACATTTCACATTATCCCAGTATTTTTAGTGCTTGTAACTACAAAATAAGTCACCATGGACCCCAAGAAAGCTTCTAGTGCCATCCCTGTGGTAAAAAGGGTGAAAATTAGTATGGAATTGAAAAGAGAGATTAAGGAAATGTGTGCAAAGTGGCTTGAAGTGCAAACCTTTATGGATGAAAATCACCCTCACACAGCTATTGCAAGCTGTGCTGGTGACTATTACAATGACAATGTTGTGAACCACTTTAGACAAATCATAAAGGAATGAGAGGTACAGAGCTCTATGGATAGATATGTTGTGCAACAGAGGTCTAGTGACTCTCAAGCTGGTCCTAGTGGCATTAAAAGAAGAAGGGAAGTAACCCCAGAAAAGGACTTGATACCTCAAGTCCTAATGGAAGGGGATTCCCCTTCTAAACAGTAAGTTCGACACTCTCCCCTCCTCCCATCCCATCAATCATCACCAGATCTTCATGAAAGGTAAGTGTCATGTATTCTATTGTTAGTAGAGTACTACTAACTGTGCATGTCTTCTTCAGTTTGTGTGCATTAAACTTCATATTTCATGTGGTAAAACTTTTTTTTTCATACTTTTGGGTGTTTTGCACGGATTAATTTGATTTCCATTATTTCTTATGGGGAAAATTAATTCACCCTACGATAATTTAGGCATACGATGAGCTCTCAGGAACGGATTAATATCGTATGCCAGGGGTCCACTGTATCACCATTAGGTTAAGTGTATTCTAACCTAACCACTCTGTAATCCAGCAAAATCACTGATCTGGCACCCTACAGGTCCCGATGATGCCTGATTAGTGATGGTCAACCTGTACTATATTACAGGCTTTTTTCTTTCTCTTTTGGTATACACGTTGCTCATCTTTAGAAGCTGTTCTTGAGACAATACTACTAAAAACTGGCATAAATCTTGGTAACAGATACCAACAAATTGATTTAGAAAGTGATCGAGGTTTCTGGACCTAAAGGTTTTCTAATAAATATGTTTTTGTGTTTCCTCATATGTCTTTCTAAATCACTATTACAAATTGCTACTCACCAGCACACATATGGCCCAAAACAGGCCAGTGAAGAGAAAGTCGAAGGTCACAAAAAGACAGAAGAAGCGCCGCACAGCTGACATTCTTCCATTGATTTGCATTCCAGGAAAATGATTGGCTAGCCAGAAATCTGAAGACACTGAGGTCATGCTGCCCGGCCAGCCTGCAAAGGTTGACATTTATCAGGTGAAATTCTCCTTCAACTGATGTACATAAACTGCTCTGGCAGGTACACAATTATGAACTAAAAAAAATTTATGCACCTGCCAAACAAAATAAGCAAATTAACTTTATGAATAATGACAATGATGATTTATCATTCAAAAGCAATAGCAATAAAATAAACTACCATAGATGTACAATATTTAAATGAATTAGATTAATCATGGTAGGTATACCACTTGCCCTGGAAAAAAGGTGAGCACAAAAAAAGTATTCTAAAAATATAGCAGATGTACCCTCAGAGAGTCATCACTGATTTGGCCCCTTCAATGGGTTTGTCTTAATGCTGAGGAGTGAACAGTGCTGATCCAAGGAACTGGAACTAACCTCCATTTCCTAGAACCAAACCTGATTACTTCCCTTTCCCCAGGCTCTATATGACTCCTACAGGTCTAGCATTTTCCCATGAATATATTATGTAAGCACTTCAACAGAATCCATTGTTTCAAAAATTCTCATTAAGCCTCCTATCATTTTCAGGGCTAGTGTCTTGTCAAGCTAATAATAAATACTAGAAGGTATCTCAGTCATTATATGAGTAGGTATTAAGATACAATACACAGAACAAGCTCTAACTGAGGTAATAGATCTTTATCAAGTCATATAGATAATACTCTACACACACATGAGGTGTTACAGAGCAGAAAAGAAGCACCACCAAATCCAAATCATGGAGAAAAACACAGATGTGAGGGAGATCAGAGGGATGAAGCTCACATTACCATACTTTGCTATGAGGTTCTAAGCCTCACTTACAGATGCATAAGAAAATATCTACACATTCACATAAATAGACAAAACATTAAGGAATCAACTCATTCACTAACCCGGATTTTGGCCATGGTGGCGCTTATTCTTTATAACGCCTCATATATACTCGTGGTAAGTGGGGCAAGAACAATGTAAAGATTGAAAATAAAGAAGTGAATGCCAGGTCTTGATGATCCAGGGAGCTGAGCACTGCAGTCTGCCTACTGGTCCATCATTAGGTTTGAGATGGTTGATTACAGTCCTGGTTTCTTCTACATAGAATGTGCACTAAAGGCTCTGTTATGCATGAGAGTCATTAAATACATTCTGAATAAAATCCAACTGTTAGTGTTTAATTTACTGGACATGCATAGAGGGTAGCGAAGATAGAGATACGGCGATTGACTGAGGAAAACAAGAGGATTCGTAGTAGTCCTCCATTTTCGAGTCCTCAGGTCAAGAAGGGAACGTGGACAGTGGCTGGACAGCATAAGACGAAGTTGACGATCAAGAAGACTAATGGAAAGGTAGAGACGACGAAGAAGAAAGAGACTGCTGTGGAAACTGTTGTGGAAACATCCAATGCATTCTCGGTGCTACCCGACGAATGTGAGTTGAATACTGGGAACGCCACTACAAACGACGCCAAGGAAGGTAAGAATATTATTGTTGTTGGGGATAGCCAGGTTAGATATATGGATAGGGCTTTCTGCTTGAAGGACAGAAGTAGGAGACAGAGTTTGCTTTCCTGGGGCTGGGATGGAGGACATTGTTAGCCGGCTTGACAACATCATGAACGGTAATGGGATCAATCCCATTATCTGCCTCAGTGCTGGAGGCAATGATGTAGGCAAGCGCAGAAGTGAGGACTTAGAAGGTTCAAGACAGCAATAGATATAATTAGGAAGAAGGGGGGGCGCCCTGTTATATGTGGCATTTTGCCAAGAAGGGATGTTGGAAATGAATGGCTGTCCAGAGCAATTGGTATTAATTGCTGGCTGGATAAACACTGTAAGGATAATGCAGTACCATTCATTGACAACTGGGACAACTTCTATGACCGAAATGACATGTATGCCAGGGATGGGGTTCACTTATCCAGGGCAGGTGTGGGTTTTCTTGCTAGCTCAGTTGAGGGGGTTGTTAGGACTTTAAACTAGGATTAGTTAGAGGTATGGGTTTAGAAATGATAAAAAATGAGTATGGATATACAGTGGACCCCCGCATAACGATCACCTCCGAATGCGACCAATTATGTAAGTGTATTTATGTAAGTGCGTTTGTACGTGTATGTTTGGGGGTCTGAAATGGACTAATCTACTTCACAATATTCCTTATGGGAACAAATTCGGTCAGTACTGGCACCTGAACATACTTCTGGAGTGAAAAAATATCGTTAACCGGGGGTCCACTGTATTGACTTATGCTCTGAAATTAAGAATTTTAATAGTAACTGTCATGGAGTAACCCTAGATAATGATAATTTCAGAAATTGTGTAAAAACAAAGATGAATAGGAAAAATGTGCAGAAGAAAAAACGTATAATGGTATTTTATGCTAACAGTCGAAGTGCAAGAAATAAGATTAATGAACTACGTTTGATAGCATGTGCTGGGAACTTCGATGTCATTGCATTAACTGGAACGTGGTATGATTTAAAGAGTCGGGATATGATTCCTGAGTGTAATATTCAAGGGTTTAAGTTGTTCCATGTGGATAGATGTTGTGGGAAGGGGGGAGGATTGCATTATATGTTCAAGAAAACATTAACTGTTGCATAAAAACAGGTATAAAAATAGATGGAACAGCAACAGAATCTGTTTGGGTAGAGTTTGTAGAAGGTCAAGAAAAGCTTATTCTAGGTGTAATATACCGACCTCCAGGCTTGGATCACAATAGAGGGAGACTTCTTTGGGACGAAATTGTTAGGGCTTCTAGACACAATAATATAGTGATTGTAGGGGATTTTAACTTTAGTCAAATAGACTGGAATTCTTTGACGGGTAATCTGGAGTCCAGTGACTTTATGGAAACAGTTCAAGACTGTTTTCTGAAGCAGTGTGTAACAGAGCCTACCAGGGGTAATAATTTGCTTGACCTAGTCTTGTCAAATAAGGAAACTCTCATAAATAATTTGGAAATCACTGAAGAGCTTGGCGCAAGTGATCACAAATCCATCACTTTTAGCATTAACTGGGAATACAGGAATAATGATAATACAGTAAAAAAAAACCCTGATTTTCATTCTGCTGATTATAATGGACTTAGGGAACACCTGTCAAATCTTGATTGGGGTTATCTAGCTAATGATTCTATTGACGATGATCATACTTATGACTACGAAGGGATCTGCATTTACGATTCTTTTCTTAATAATGTACACCATGCTCAGAGTATATACATTCCCCAGAGAGAAATTAGATCTGATAATAACGATCCTAAGTGGGTTAACAGGAGGCTAAAGCATTTATTTGGGGAGAAAAGGGGAATATATAGGCACATCAGAAGGGAAGAGGTTAACCTTACTGACCAATATGTTCAGCTTAAAAGAGAAGTAAAAAAGGGAATTAGAAAGGCTAAACGTGACTATGAAATTAGAGTTGCTAATGAATCAAAGACCAATCCAAAGGGGTTCTTTCAGGTGTATAGGACGAAGGTTAAGGAAAAAGTAGGACCTCTGAAAATTGGGAATGGACAGCTGACGGATAACAAACTGGAAATGGTTCCATATTTAATGACTATTTTTTGTCAGTTTTTACACAGGAAGACATAAATGAGATTCCAGAAATTAACAATTATTCAGTTCCTGACGAATTCAAATTGACTAATATTACTGTCACGAGGGACATGGTTATCAAACAGATAGACAAACTGAAGCAAAGTAAGTCCCCGGGGCCCAACGAATTATTTTCCAGGGTACTTAAGGAATGCAAGATGGAACTTAGTCAGCCATTAACGAGTGTGTTCTATGCATCCATCCTTACTGGTGTTGTGCCAGAGTTGTGGAAGATGGCCAATGTGGTTCCTATATTCACATCAGGGGATAAGTCCACCCCTTCAAATTACCATCCAATAAGCCTGACATCTATAGTTGGCAAATTACTAGAATCAATTATAGCTGACATTATTAGAAGTCACCTTGAAGAGCATAACTTGATAAATGAATCTCAGCATGGATTCACGAGAGGTCGTTCCTGCCTGACAAACTTACTGACGTTCTTCAATAGAACATTTGAGGCAGTAGACAGTGATAAAGAATATGATATTGTTTATTTGGATTTTAGTAAAGCCTTCGATAGAGTACCTCACAAGAGACTCTTAAGAAAAGTGGCAGCTCATGGTATAGGAGGTAAAGTTCTAGAATGGATAGAGGCATGGTTTACCAATAGAAAGCAGAGAGTTTCCATTAATGGGTTCAAATCAGAATGGGGCTTAGTTACTAGTGGCGTTCCACAAGGATCAGTTTTAGGCCCTCTCTTGTTCATAATTTATATTAATGACCTTGATGAAGGGATTACGAGTGACATGAGCAAGTTTGCTGATGATACAAAGATAGGCCGTATGATTCATTCTGAGGAGGATAGCAATGAACTGCAGGAGGATTTAGACAAATTAATGTCTTGGTCTGAAAAATGGCAGATGAAGTTCAATGTGGATAAGTGTAAGGTACTGGTCCTTGGTAATGAAAATAACCCTCGAAGCTATAAACTAGGTGAAGTAGAGCTTCATCATAGTGTGTGAAAAGGACTTGGGAGTCATGGTAAGCAGAAACCTAAAGCCAAGGCAGCAGTGCCTAAGTGTGCACAACAAAGCAAACAGATTACTTGGATTTATCTCAAGAAGTATAAGTAACAGAAGCCCAAAAGTTATTTTACAGCTCTATACATCACTGGTGAGGCCTCAATTAGATTATGCTGCTCAGTTTTGGTCTCCTTACTACAGGATGGATATAGACTCATTGGAGAACATACAGAGAAGAATGACTAAAATGATTTACTGTGTAAGGAATCTCCCGTATGAAGATAGACTTAAAGCCTTAAATCTTCACTCTCTGGAGAGACGTAGAATGAGAGGAGATATCATTGAGGTGTATAAGTGGATGACGGGCATAAACAAAGGAGATATTAATAAGGTATTGAGGGTGTCGAACCAGGTAAGAACCAGAAATAATGGATTTAAGTTGGATAAATTTAGATTTAGATAGGACATAGGTAAGTACTAGTTTTCTAACAGAGTTGTAGATGCGTGGAACAGCCTTCCCAGTGGGGTGATAGAGGCTAGGACCTTGGGTAACTTTAAGAAGAAACTGGACAAATATATGAGTGGGAGGGGCTGGGTTTGATTGGTGTCATTGGGTACGGGAGTTATTTCTTGGGTAGCTTTAGGTAGAGGTCGTTTTGATAAGACCTGCCTCGCATGGGCCAGTAGGCCTTCTGCAGTGTTCCTCCATTCTTATGTTCTTATGTTCTTAAAGCCCCCAAAGATGACCACCACGGAAAACTGAAAATAATGGAGGCTATTCATAGAAGACCATACAGTGAAGACAGCAGAGAATCAAAATAATGCAAATAAGGAAACCATTGAATTTGAGAGCTTGACTGTAATCAGAACCACTAAAGGTAGATAGATGACAGGTATTTTCAAACTGAAAAAAAAGATGACTCTCTTTAGATTATTAGCCCCAGAGGGCTAATAACCTAAGGTTATTAATAACCCAATAAAACCAAGTAGTGTGGCTTATTTCCACTGGAGTCCTTAGGTTTTTCTTCAGGATATCACCCATGAGAGTCAAGTAACACCCAGGATTTATATACCGCTGGGTGAACAGAGGCAGCAGGTGTATGGAGACTTGCCTATATGTCTCATCTCTCCTAGGACTGAACCAAGGTGCTTCAGTCGCAAGCCGAATGCGCTACCACTGAGTTACGAGACACCCTGCAATGTTGCTATGATGTGTGAGTGAAAACTTGATAACACCGCAGTGACAGGCATAAAATAAGCATTATGGGTTATATTTTGCAAACCAGAGTAGGAAAAGTGAACACAAGAGAGTAGATAGAATAAGGTAGAAAAAGGAGAATACAGATTTAGAGTAAGATACACACAGAGAGTAGTTAAAGCAAGAAGAGTAGATACAGTAAAAACCAATAACTGGAATTGCACAATGACATTCAAAAGGGTGGAGGTAAAATAAAGATTGATTCTATGGATGGTTTGGACAAGTGGAGACAACATGACAACAGGTTAGTGACTGAAAAGTTTAAACACGGACATTGTATCATGACCACATACGGCTCTATAGATAAAAGTATCAAGCCTAAAATTTTGACCAAATTGAATACAGCAATATAATGTACAAAGTCTCTAATGCTCACTCTTTTTTGAGAATAATTTATTATTTAAACAGAGTGTATATAATCTACCATATTTCAGTTCTTAAATACAACTTTTTAGGTTAGATACTCCACATAAATAAAATGCACTATCCAGGTAAAATTATATTGAAAACACACGATATACATGTTGAATATTACCCAAGGATGGTAAGTGTCCAAGTCTTGACATCTCTTCACACGTCAACACTTCCTAAGTCACTGCAAAAATAAAAAAAAAATGAATGAGATGCATTAAAAAAAATGAAAGCAAATGGATGGCATAAAAGGTATAAACAGATTGACACAAATGCACAAACACTCAACTGAAGGCATATATGGTATGTCCAGTTGGTAACGTTATGTGCATCATCCATTTTCCGAAAGCATCAGGACTGAACCCTCTTGAATTAAATGAATTTCCGGACAATTAATGACCGATGTCGATGAATGGTGGGTTGGAGATTGAAGGTTGGTGGTGGTGGTGGTGGTTGTTGGTGGTGGTGGTTGGTGGTGGTTGTTGGTGGTGGTGGTGGTTGGTGGTGGTTGTTGGTGGTGGTGGTTGGTGGTGGTTGTTGGTGGTGGTGGTTGGTGGTGGTGGTTGGTGGTGGTTGTTGGTGGTGGTGGTTGGTGGTGGTGGTTGTGGTGGTGGTTGGTGGTGGTGGTTGGTGGCAGCGACAGTTGTTGTTGGTGGTGGTGGTGGGAGCGGCGGTGGTGGTGTGGTGG